GACAACCCTCCTGTTAAAGGAAACCCAAACCCTCACCACTGGACCCATGAGCAATGCCATGCTGAGCGAAGAGAAGCTTGAAGTTGTCATGGATTCTATTTTAGTTGGATCCGCAGTCAGCGTGCAAGAAATCCACCGACATATTGGGCCAATCTGCGGCAGAAAACGTCTTTAACGTGTCACAGTGAAATGTCACTTTGAGGACTAGGGCTTGCCTAGTCTAATTCATGGTGTGCTCAGTCCTCTCATATGAACTGTGAAAAGTGGACAATGAATCAGGAATACAAAAGAAGTTATGCATCTACTTTTATCATTGCGATTTCACTGATTCTTTCTGTCTTCCTAGCACAGAAGCCTGCATTTTTATCACAGGCATCTATTAAAATGCACGGACTGAGTAGTTATTAGGACAGTACACATTCTTATTTAGTACTTATTTATTTTATATTATATGTTTCAGCCACACACATATGGACATATGTATTTCAGGTTATTGTCCATAAATTGTTTTCCCTTATATTTTTATGGCCATTTATAATTTTCCAAATTTTGATACACTAAAATATAATCAAAGTCCTGTGGCAAAGTTGTTAAGCATGTGGGGCAGTTCTACTCTGTTCTCTAGGGTCACTATATACTTTGATTTTAGATTTTCTTCATTTATGAGAGTGTATGAGAATTATTTAGACACCTAACCATAAAACAATTTACAAACTATAGAGTGCTTGCTAAATATTAAAGGCAATTGCTTAGAGAGACCCTTAATTACCTGACAAGGCAGTGATTTTCTATGAAGTTACTATAATATCTTGCTCAATCACCTACCTTCACAAAAAGTTTTCCTTATTAAAAACATATTAAAACTTCCAAGTAATACTTTCCATCATTTTATTATATTTTCAATTAGCTTATGCTAGAAAGAAGACACTAAATTAAAGAACTTGAAAATATTTCCCTCCCTCTGGTTGGGTCATTGCGTGTCTATTATGCTTGTATAAATTTGTACTCTTCATGTATTAAAATGAAAACAAAGGAAATATCTGCCTAGCATTATAGAGCCATCCACACTCTGACAGGCATTTACTTAGAGTCCCTGGTGAGCATTAGCCTCTATAGGCCTCTGTTCCTTGTCTGTAAAATAATGTTTGCACGAGATGATATGTAGATCTGTTTGATGGAGTTAAGGGTCTTTAATTGTAGAATAGCCAGACTAATAATAGGTCTAAAAAATGCTTTGAAAAAAAGTTAAAAGTGTTATACATATGTACAACATGGGTGGAAAAGGTCAATGAGGAAAAGACAACATGTAGTCAAAAGATTCTAAAATTATCCATTATTCTTCTGAACTATTCATGTCTTTTTCGGATTCCATTTCTTGGGCACTGCCTACCATTTGCGTACCATATCAAAAGCATTTTCATAGAATACAGTGTAATACTGGTCACCAACCTCAAAAATTCACTCTCCATATTTGTAGCTAACAGAATATGGCAAAGAGCCCCATGTCATTAAAGATAACTTAACTGTGTTATCTTTTGGTCTACAGTTTTCTGTAGTTTATTAATGGCATAACACATCAATTCTTCTTTCAGAGGTGACCTTTACAACACCATTAATCCTCACAGCTTTTATCCAACTGCATTATTACTCATTATGGTTTCAGCTCTCAACGTCTGCATTTGTTGAAAAGAGAAAAGTAAATTGTAATGGCCTCAAATCCTTGAAAAATAGGAGGGATGTGTATGCTGTGCTGGGACTTTTTCAGGGAAAATATGATAAGTTTTAGTAGGGAAATAGGTCAGAAGATAAATGACATTAAATAAATTCTTGGCTTTCTAAAATACATTCTGTCATGCTTCATCCTTGAGAATACTAAAGTAAACAAACATGATAAAATGCAAACATTAGTTATTCTGTGAAGTATTCTCGTTCCAATAGCATTACAAAAGTGGCACATATACCAGCACTGGGATCTGTATGAGCCTTCAAATATATTAAAGAAATCAATACCTTTTTAAAAAGAAGTCAATACTTTTGGTCAACTAAAACACCTTTTCGCCCTTTTCAGTATTTAACACCCAAGCCTAATCTTACCTTGGTGCCCATATAGGATACTAAGCCGAGTTTCTCAGAGACCACCACAAAAACGAAACCGTGTGAAGAAGAATCACACATTTATTCCAAGTCTTTGTCAAACGTCTCAAAACTTCAGTTTTCACTCATTCTTTTCTGACTACTTTGTATTGTCTCAGACTGACCTCCTTTCAGCAAATCATCTTGAAGCTTACTTGGTAGAAATCAAATTGTTAAAGAACATCCTTTCAGCACTTTTGCTGTCCATCCTGTAATTGCTCCATAACTCTTTGCCTCTCCGTTTCCTTTGGTCTCCGAAAGAGAAGAGAGTTTTCTCTTGGCTGAGTATAATCTTTCCATCATGTTTACTCTACTTTTTATTTTTGTACTCTTCATGGATAGTCACCTCTCCAACTCTTCTTCCTCGTCCTATGTGATTGATACGTATACAGAAGATTTTCCACTGAAGTCAATTTGCCTTATCAACATAATTACCCTTTGCCACCAAATCTACAAAACTACAGGTCTACACCCTCAACTGTACTTCCTTTCCTCCGAGTCTTCACATCTTTGCAACTGGAATTCTCTCTCAGCCATTTTAATAAAATGTCTCTGTATGGGTCAATGTAACTCGAGATAAATTCTAAGACTTGTCCTTATTCATCACATTCTGTCATTGTCCTGAAGAAGGCAATGAACACAGGTAAGTCACCCGAGCCCTGTGGAACTTCGCATCTCCTCCAGGTTACTATGACGCTCTCTGTCTTTTGCTTTTATTCTTCCAACGCTTCATGATTGCTCATTTTCCTTGAGTTTTTCCACCTTATAAAGTGTGGTACTTTAACAAATATTTCTGTAGGTTCTTTGATCCTTTTCTCTTTAGATGCTGGGGCCTAATTCTTCTCTCCTGGAGCTCAGTGGGGCTTCATGATTCTGTGATAATGAACAGAGTGATCACAAACTGATTGTGTGTGATTTTGGAGACCAGAGGGCAAAAGGTGCAAGTGTTTTTCCCTTGGTTCTCCTGGTATCCTTCACTTTCGGGAAAGTGAGCTCTGTAGAGAGATCGGTCTAGCTGCCAAGAAGCAGGTGTTCCTGGTAAAAATTAGTAAGATACTGAGGTCTCTGAAGCCAGGCATGTGAGTTAATTTATTTAATTTGTTTTTTTATGAACGTGGATCCTCAACTCCTAGTAAAAGTGCCGGACACCACATGGCTATGACCATGGGAGAAACACGAACTTCCCAGCTCCGCTATCAGACCCTGACTCTAACCCTGACCCTAACCCTGACAAAAGCAGACATGTTTGCTTTCCACAGCCAAAACTTGAGTTCATTGCTTATTTAATGATTGATAACTGTTGCAATAGGTGATATCTATGATTCTTTATTTCACTTCTTCTCTTACAGTCTTTTTGGGTATACCCACTCTCGTAGCTTCTAGAGTTTCATTAATGAACACATTCCATATTGAAAATTTCAGCACTTCTTTGACACATCAGACTTAACATTTGTAATTTTCTTTTGAACATCTCCACCTTAATGGTTCCTTATACTTCAACTGTCAACAAGTATTCATTTCTTATATTTATCACTTTGTCCACATCTATTTCATTTCGTAATTAATGGCGTTACAATTCTTCTGATTTAATAAATTCAGAATTCTGGGATTCCATGTCACCCACTTGATTCTCATCCTATCTATTCTTTTTCGAGTTATTTCAATTCTTATTTAACAAATTCTCTTCAATTTATTGCCTCTTTTCCCTTCTCATTTTTTCTATCTCATGTGCTTCTTACATATATATATATCTTTTACATATATGTTAGCTCTACATTAAAACAATGGGTTCCCTCACGTTAACTTGCCTTAAAGTCCTGATTACCTTGCTGCTGAAAGAAAAAGTCAAAATCCCTTAGGAGGTTATTCAAGGCTCTCAACGGTTGGATTCCAGTTGCCTCTTTCAATTTTTTTACCCATTATTTTCCATCAAATACCATTTTGTACTTCAGTCAAACTGCACAAATCTAAAAAATATTCTGGTGTTTCACTCTATTTTTCCTTACAGCCTAAAATGCCTAAAAATGTATCTATTCACCAAGACTCATTTAGAATTAGGCTATTTTTAACTTATCCTCTCTTGATCTTTCCTGAATGGAATTCAACGCTCTTCTCTCTATAACTGTAAGGCTACATCTGCATAATGGAATTAAACTTAAAATTGTTGATTTACACTTTAGATAAATGTATTTTCCCCAATTAATCTATAAGCCCCTTGCCATTATTGCAAGCTGGTCTCTTTATAACTGTGTGCTTAGCACAGTGCCTTGCAAATAATAAACATATCAATAAATGTAGGCTGGAGTAAATGAAACTTTTACAGTCTAATTTACATATTGCTAAAATGCATGCCATCAATTTTTAAAGTCAGTTTACAAAAATGTTGTCTAGTGTTTGCTTGCTTAAACATCAAGTAGGAAGAACTGAAGCCCAGTACTTTTTGGAGTACTTCGATAGGTTCAAGTGTGCGTGAAGCAGAATGGCAGTGAATACATCACATTCTGATGGCTGGTTGCTGAGTCAGGAAGAAGGTATTTCACAATCATATACACTTTGCATGCACCACAAAAGTGGAATAGGTTCCATAACTGGAACTGTTATTGTGATGAGTCATTTAAACCTCATTTTTATATATCGGTGGACATCAGCTACACAGACCGAAACAATACAATTAAGACTTTCATGGAGACACTGTAGCTTACACTTGAGTTTGAAACATCTTTTGCATTTTTAAACCAGATCTAACAGGTTCATTGGACTGAAATTCTCTTCCAAAGCCCAAGCCCTGAGTATTTTGCTATTTTAAGACGATTTCATTCAATTGCCATAAACAGAAAATGAAGAACAACAAAAGAAACAGGACTTACCGATTGTGCTAACTCTGGCTGAAGGGCTAGCTAAGGTTGCTGGGACAGAGGCTTTGAGGGGGCCTGCCCCACTGTTTAGTCTCAGAGCTGGCATATGGGGAGAGGTGGGTGATGTGGGTGATTTGCCATCAGAGGTCTTGGGTTTGGCTGATAGGTTCAGTGGCTGTGCCACTTCATCCTGCAACGATCATTAGAACATAAGCTGTGATAAGGAAAGGCTGATCCAAAAGGCCTAGGAAAACACAGGTATACACCCAGACATCTTTCATCAAGTGCACCCACCAATCAACATTCACCCAGAACATCACAGTTTTGGGTTTGCTAACAACATATTGTCACGTCCAACTATGCATTATAAAACCCTTTTTTTGTTGTTGTTGGATATAGGAATGTTCATGTGCACTCAGCTATCCAGAAAAATGCAAAACAAAACATAAATGATGTGATGAGTAAGAGTCTTGCAGTTTTATACATTGTACAATGCATTTTTATTTTGAGATAGATGTTGTTACCATAAAAGAATGAATGATGTAGGAAGATTTTTTTAACCTCCAAAGAACAGGGTTGATCCTCAAGCCAATCTATACTTTCGCTAAATTTACTTTGGCATTTAAAAACACCAGGGGAAAGATTCTTTCTAGGTCATTCCATTTGAAATTGTTAATTGACTTGGCCAGCCATCATAGGGGCCTCAGTTAGCAAACGCCCAGAGATACTGAATTCTATTCTACCCTTTTCTATACGCTAGTACAAGGGAGTGCTTCTCGTACTGTGCTCCTGGGAGTAGGACCTCGGGTCTCTGGAGGTAGGATTCAGAACCCCCTGTTCTAAAACAAGCACTCACAGGTAATTCTGATACGTGCATGCTGACGTTTGACCACTGCTGCCTTATATAATTTAATGGAACATCACACAAAAACTATCACTTATTAGGCATCATAACCTCTAAAAGGCTTCTTCATTATAAGGTGGTGACATAAGTAATAAATATTGCCTTAATCTTTGAAATTTCATTGTGACATACCAGATGCCACTAACAATACACGGAAACATGCAAATGCAGAAAGAAATTCAAGAACAGATTCGGTGGCAAGAGAAGGAAGGACTCAGGCTCTCCTTGGCAGTTCTGCCTAGACATCCTGTCTGTCAGGCAGGACATTTATTGACGACATACTTTGCAATTGTCATTCTTCTAGGCACCTTTTCCCCTCGACAGAGAGGTATAACTGTTTCCTCCCTTCCATGGGACGTTGCCGACCTCTGTCTGGACACTACTAGAAATTCCTTTGGCAGCATCATGGCTCTTGAGAAAGTTTTGTGTAGAGTAAAAGAAATGAAATGTATAGCTGTTTCACCTGCCTGTGCAGGCAAAAAGGAAGGAACCCATTCCTGGAGTTATCAGAGAAGGTGTTAAAAAGCACAGAAGAAAGCAGAAGGTGAGAGGTGAGTGGGTGCAGAGGGTGAATGTGGTTTGATGCAGATGAGGCCATTGATCTGAGTGTGGGTGTGTGTCTTCATATTAAGGGCTTAGCACGATTGGAGGCACATGCTGCAAAGGGATATTCAGAGCATCATGTAGACAAAGAGGCCCTCTGGAACCTTACTACTCTCCTTCATCCAAGGCAGCACAGCTGATGAAAAGCCGGAAGGTGCAAGGCTGTAGACATAACAAGTTGACAGTTCCACAGTTGATATCAATGTCACTCAAAATCACTGTTTCATTCTCTTTCGTTGTATTATCAGGCTAAATGGTATATTAATAAGAACTCAAATCCATATTCTGGTAACTGAAAAACTATTTTTGAATTATTATATGATATTATTTCACAGTTTGGTTGTTTTAATAATTTACTAATGAGGTGGTACTCCAAATGATTATTATTCATGTATTAAGCAAAAAAAATACTGTCCCAATTTATGTTAATTATTTTTCATTTGCCTAGGTGAATATTTAAAAACCATAACTATAAAATACAAACAGACTTCTTCCAACAAGTATTCTGATAATTACGAGCATAAGAAATAATGTTTGGATGTAAGGCTTTTTTCCAGGTTTTTATTTATTTTCACGATTCAGAAGAAATTTGTTTAAAAGCTTAGCATGACTCACATTATTCTAACAAATAAAATATTTATTAAAAATTATAAATGAATAATTTACACATCAAACAAAGTGACTTTCAAGGTCAAGAAAGCATTGTAGATGGCACTCTTATAGCAACATGCATGGAAAGCAATTTACTTTATATTTGTTCAGCTGATAAATGATGTTGGTAATTGAACATTCTGGAAATAACATGTTTTATAATTGTTTCATTCACATACACAGGAATACTTATGACTCTTAAGTAGCTCTTAAGTAGCTCCAAACTTGTATATGAAGGTAATACAAAGTAAGCATTTAAGGTTACATAATCATATTGAAAGCTAAAGTAAGCAACTTTAACTAGTCAAAGGCAATGACTTACACCTATAGGACAAAATAAACAAATATATAAGATGACCCACTGTTATCTAGTCAATTCCAACTTACAGGGACCCTAGATAGAGTTTCTGAGGCAATATAAATGCTTATAGGGCCAGACAGCCACATCTTCAATCTTGCAGAGTGGCTAGTTGGTTTGAACCAATGACCTTGTAGTTAGCTATCCAATGCTTACCCAGGGTTACCCTGCAACACCAGGGCTCCCATAGAGCACATTGTAAATAATTCCAGTTATTTGTTTAATCCTTAAGACTGTGAAGTAGTTGTTTAACCGCGTGGAGGAAACAGAAGCTCAGAAAGTTCTAATGCGATACCCAGAATGCTGGCTTTTGAACCCAGGTCTTTGTCCTTACTATACAGCATTCTAACAAATTCAGTCTTCAATTTAAAAAAGGAAGTTATGAAGTAGCATTTCTGAAATTCAGACCTAATCATTCAAGTCGATCTATAATAATCCACATGAAATTCAGTACACGGGAATTAAATTAATAAACATGTTTGCTGCTTAGACACAGCTACAAAGTTAAGGCCTACATTGCTAGCATTTGGGAGATGTTTCCATGCTTCCATGTTCTCTCCCCTGTATTACATTAAAAATCTCCTTTGTTAATACTAAAAAGTTAGTGAATTAGACTATTCTTTGTGAAAAATTTCCTAGTGTTTGTGTTGAATATGAAAGAAAATAAGATAGTTCCTACTGATGAGCTAAGAGTATACTTTGTACATCTAAATCCACGTTTTTCAAATACATTTATGACGAGTACTTCTCCAAATAAAGCACTGGCTAAGTCTAGTTGGCTGGGATGGACTACCAAACAAATAAAATCTAAGCATATTTACATTGCTCAAGCATGTCCTATTATAACTACCAATGACTTGTCTGAACACAAACATCTCACTTAAGACCAGTTGGTAATCACGGTATTGGAACTATATTGCAGGCTATAATTAATTCATGGCACAGTGGGTTGTGAATGGCAAGGCCAGCGGCTTGAACCCACCAACTATTCCACAGGAAAAAGCGTGGCAATCTGCTTCCAGGAAGATTTGCTTCCAGCCTCAGAAATCCCCTTTCCTTAGCCTTCATTTTATTTTTTGCTAAGGAAATTAAGTAGATTGACTAGAAAATAATGGTATCAGATGCACAGAGAAATCTATTTGTTTATGTGCTGTTTCCTTATTCTTCACAACATGGAGATTGATATGCATGAGGATCCTTGATACACAAGATATACCACTGAGGATATATGAATGATAATATTCTTCAAAGGAAGAAATGTATCTTCACTTGGATCATTTTATCATGCTCATCTCATTTGTGACCTATTTCACACCACATCACTGTTGTCTCAAGATTTTACTTCCTCACATATTTGCCAAAACAGCCACCAAGGGAAAACACAAACTTACTGCCATTGAGATAATTCGGATTCATATTAACCCAAGAGGTCCGAGTAGAACTGCTCCTTTAGGTTTTTGAAGCTGGCAGTTTTTATGGAAGCAGAAAAAACCCAAACCAAATTCATTGCCATCCAGTGATGCCAAACCCTAGTAACCCCATTGGACAGGGTAGCACTGCTCCTGTGGGCTTCTGAGACTGTAACTCTTTGTGCGACCACGGAGTCCAGTCTTTCTCCCATGGAGCAGCTGGTGGACTCAAACTGTAGACCTGGTGGTTAAGCAGCCCATTGAGTATCTGAGTCCAATAGTGGCATAGTGGTTAACCATTGGGCTGCTAACCTCAAGGCCAGCAGTTTGAAACCACTAGCCGCTCTGTGGAAGAAAAACTGGACTTTCTACTCCAGTAAAAAGTGACAGGTTTGGAAATACACAAGGGCAGTTCTACCTTGTCCTATAGGGTCACTGTGACTCAGAATTGATTAGATGATGTGTTTGATTTTGAGACTTATTAAAAATATATTTTGTATTTAACAAATTTGTAACATTATAGTGGCAACAGACAACCACTATAAGTGTATTCAATCATTTCTTTATTAATTACTGGGTGACATTTCAACTATTTATAAAAGGCTAGTACAGATTAGTATTACAGATGATATAAGTCAATTCAGTATCTGGTTTTCAGACTTTGATTTAGTGAGGTAAGTGATAATTAGAAAAAAGAAGTCCAATTTCTTTTTATTTAAATCTCACATATAAATATATGGAATTGTGTTTAAACGAAATTATTGAAGGACAGTTTATCCATACATTTTTAATTATTTAAAAATAAATTTTTATTTAAAATGCACTTTAGATCTTTAACAGCCATGTAGTGATGAAGTGATTGAATAAAGATTTGAATATTATTTACACAAATACATATATATGCGTTTATGTGTGTGTTTGTGTGTGTGTGTGTATATATATATATAAAGTTTAAATTCTGGTCACCACATTTGGTGCTGAAATGGTTGAGCTTCAAAGTCAGCAGATCAAAACCATTGACGGCTCTTTGAAAAAAGGTGAGGGTCTCTACTACACTCAACAGTTACAGTCTTGGAAACCCACGGGGGACGTCCCACCTGTCCTTCAGGGGTGCTAGGAGTTGGATTAGACTTGATGGCAGTGAGTTTGGTTTATGGATGGCAGTGAAAGCCCAAACTCCATTTGCCCAGTTTCCAGGTAGCTAAACCTCCATTGAATTTCTTCTGACCGTGGACCTGGGGTGGAGTGCCTTTTAGAGGCAAGGG